TTCAGTCATGGCACAACCAAGCCCTGGCGTGGTGGAAATATCAAATTAGTGTGGTTGTGTCTGGACAAAGCAGCTGAGTGAAAAATGACCCGAGTCCAGCTTTTAGAAAATAGACCAAACTAATCCAATCTGAAGACCACATCACTAAACCCTAATAACAACAGAGCAAAATCTTTGATGATGATGAATGGAATATGGAAAAACAGGTTGGATCTGTTTAAGATGCTCTGGTGCACATGACTCAGTCCCACCTGAAATGTGGGCCACGTTTGGAAGGATGCTGCTGCCCGCTTTTCTGTGACCCACGCACAAAGAAATGGACCAACAATATTATTAGGACATAATGGCCTAAAGTCAATTTTGAATCATACATTTTGCTTATTGTTTATAAGATTTTTTCTAGATTAATTAATCCATCATATGGATTATTCACAAATAAAAACCAGTGTGAACCACGTCTACCCGCATCTACCTGTTGTGATTTATCTTTCCAACCAACACAGAGAAAAACATATTTAGGAATGCTAATTCACCTCAACTAATCACGATTAATTGTGATTAATCCACAACCACCATGTGATCAATCACATTAGATATTTGAATCATTTGACAGGAAAAAAGGAGTAAACACTGGTGACTGTGACTCTGTCAGGCCTTCAGTTTAAACAGGAAATAAAATGGTGACCTAAAATCTATAAAAATTCTTTCGGTGCGTAATTTTAAAGTTCAACTACAAAATAACAGACAATAATCAAACAGCTCGATACGATCACACAGCGACAGTCTTAACTCGCGTGAATGAAAAAGAAAAAAAAAAACACCATCTTTACTGAAACCCCAGTGGAAAATTGGAGTAGGGAACAGTGATCCATCCCTTAAAGTGAGTGGCAGCCCAGCATCGACTGATTTTTCTAAGACGTCTTCTCAGGAATGGTGTCTGAAGAAGAAAAGGCACAAATGCACTGGGGAAGAAAAAGATTGTAAAAGCTATCGGTAGAACAGTGCAACACCAAGACAGAGTGAAATGGAGAACGAGCCTTTACAGAAATGAATCCACCACACAAACTGAATCAATCAACAAGTCTGAAGGCCTGCTAGCTGCTATTGAAGTGCTATTTACACCAGACTGAGATCAATGCAGGAGCTGGGGTGGACCATCGACCCAAATCCTCCTCAGTTCTACTTCTTTCAACCCGTCTAACGCCGCAGTGGAATCACAGACATGGCTGAGGTTCATGTATTTTTACTTCTTTATAGTTGATAAACTTGTGTGTTTCGTTTGGTCAGAACAAATCTTAGCAGCTTTGTTTGTTAGGGCTGTATGTTCCCTGTTCCTGCTGTGTGGGGTTGATCAGTGTGATCACATTCACCTGTGTCTCTGTCATTAGTCTCACTGGTGTCACCTGGTGCTTTGAGTATATCCCTGTTTCCCTCACTCTGTCTTAGTGGGATTACTGTACTTTGTACTGTATTGAGTTCTGCAACCTAGTTAGTGGTGTGACTTTTGACTTTTGTGAATAAACTACCTACACTGAAGGAGACTCCCCTGGTACTGTATTTGGGTCCTGTCTGCTTCCTGCCATAAAATAAAATAAAACACATTTGTACAGTATTGATCCCATATTTGGGAAATTGTTGTGTTAGCAGCAGATATGCTGTTAATAGGCTGCCCCTAGCAAGCACCAAGCATGTGGTTCCTCTGGGAATCGAAGAGTCACAAGTCATGACAGTGATTTAAAAAAAGAAATCTCCAAACTGCACTTCTATAATCTGAGGATTATGTCCTCTGACCACAGCACACTGTGAATATTCACTTTGGACCAGGAGGTCAAACTGTTTATGCGTCAACAGAGGGTTTCTCTTTAGTTTAACTCATGCACACACACACACACCTGCGATTCCACCCCGACTAAATGACTGCACCTGCATTTCTCTCTTTTTCATGACACTGCATACCTAAAGGAGTCTCAGTCCACCTGAAAGATCTGCCTGGTCACAGTGCTGTGTTGACCACAGTGTTGTTGTTCCACACATTCTCTATTCCAAAATATTAATTGATGATCAATTACAGTGTTGTAATAGTAATGAGGTGTGTGTTTATATTATGTATTAAACTTAAACCAGACTGGATCCAAATCCCAGCCATTTAAGGTCACTATCAAATAAACACTGTTTCACACTGGGATAAAGTGGATAAATACATTACTATGTTAGAGGCTAACTTTATATCAGTCACACTTTTAGATCAACAAAAATCACATGTTGCACTTGTTGTATAAACACAATAAAGACATCACTAATAGGAGACTGAAGGACTACAGTGATGATAAAGCATAAACGTAGGTTTGCGTTTTACGTTAAATAAATAAAGCCGTGGGGTGAGAGAAGAAGAATAACAAGATAAGACTGAATCTTCAGGCTTTTTTCTGGTCATTACATCAAACACACAGCTGTTTAGACTGAAGAACAGCTTGGAGACACAAAGCAGAAGGCACGCCTCAGCCAAGGCTGAACAATTGTACGTAGAACCACAATCGTTCATCATTCATAAAATATAGTTTAGGAAAGTTAAACAATAAAAAAAAAAAAAAAAAATCCTGGATCAGCCACTTATTCTGCATACACACCAAAATTCCTTCTCCCTAAACCAACAAGCTGACACAGGTGAAAAACCCTCCATGGCGAAGGCAATAAGTTTACTTTCCCTGTTTCACGGTGATGAGTCTGCAGATTTTATATGATACATAACAGTTTGGTGGGGAAAAAAAACCCGAGAAGGAAGTAGAGATTAGGAGGGAGAAGGAGAAGGAGAGGAGAGGAGGTGCAGGGAGTGGGATGCAGGGCATCAGACTGCAGTGTGTCTAGACAGTATTTATGATCCATCTGTCTGCTCCTACCACGGCAACAGCCAGCGGCTACGACAAGATGGCAAACTCCATTACCACAAAAACATTTTCTGTGTCCCTCTGCATCTTCCTGCCTCCTCTTCTCCTCCTCACCCTCTCTCCCTACACCCTTCTCCGTCTCTGTTCCCACACTCTCTGCTTTTAGAGTCTGTACATTCTGCAGTCCCCTGCCTCTCTTTCCTTTTCGTGAACCTCTCCTTTAAATTTTCTTTCTCCCCACAAACACCTCTCTCTCTCTGTCTCTCCACATTTCTCAGCAAAAAAAAAAAAAAAAAAGGAAAAGAAGAAAGTGCATTGGCTCAGAAAATTGAAGTCATTGTACACTTTTCTCCCCACACCGGCACCAGACACTTTTACATTAACATTCAATCCAGACGGCTAAATATTTTAAGCACACGGACGCACACACAAATACAAAACCACACACTTTCAGTCATAAAAACAAAGAAGGTGAGAGGAATTTACAACGAGACGTGAAGTTTGAGGTTTGAGAGGCAAAGTGCACTCCAGCTCTGGAGGTGGAGGAGTGAAGGAGAGGAGAAAAAAAACCCCAACCAGACATACACACATACATACACACACCAACACACACGCACAGCAAGAATGTGTGCCAAGGATGAAATTGCTGCTGTAAAAAAATTTCCCTCATCTCCTCCTAAAAGTTGTTGAAAGAGGTGGCTGCAGCACATCAAAGTGGCCTTGGCAGGCGGCCATCACAGCCTATTGGTGTCCTTCACCCTCTCTCTCCCCCTCTCTCCCTCACACACACACACACTCTCTAACTCACTCTGCTTCCATTGATCATGATGAGTGGAGAGAACTGGCTGTTCACTGCCCCTCCATGAGGGGTAAATGTGGACATATAAAAACAGAGATTCAAACATGCAGCAGAATGGGAAAAAAACAGTAGAAATGATGAGAATTTCCCCACAGCAGTAAACATATTTTCCCTCCTAACGTTGTCTCTTCCAGCCCTCGCGACGTTTTTCATCTCTTACAGACCACTTCATAATAAATCTCAGAACCACGGTGAACGCATGCTGTATGTCTCTGACATGGATATGTCATAAATATGTCTTCAAGTTGAATCATTCTCAGTTTGTGACCCATGGAGATCCCCATCCTGATGCAATCCAACATGGGATCACTGCTCTAGCCTGTTGTACATGATTATAACAAACACTGGATTTAATCAGGGAACAAACAGCACTGCAGCGCTTTGGCCCAGAGGCAATGTCTCTGTTATTGGTGTGGAACCCCAGGGTTCACCTGCTGGGCAAGATCAAATCCTGGTTAGGGTAGTTGGCGCCTTCTTGTGGATTCACCACCCGCAGGTAGGTTCACAAGGCGCTGGTACAGTGCAGTGTGATTTGGGCGGTGGTCCTGGAGACTGCTGCCCCTGCAACCCAGTAATGGATAAGCAGGAGAAAATGGATGGATGGATGAAAAGCACTACTTTTTTTATACTGAGCTGCATGACAGTCTAATCAATTTAAGCTCTTTGCAAACATTAGGCTTCCTTCAGTCCATTCCCATGCTAGCTTTTAGTTAGCTAACTCATTTCCTCAATCTAATAATAATAATCTAATAAACAACTGAATGGCCTTTGTTTATTAACTATTAAAACCGAACAACAACATCCAATCTTCAATGACTGAATGTAATGATTCGAGTTATAATCAGTTTGTTTCACTAGTGTTATATATGTGTCAAGGAAAACATTCCCCACAGCACTGTAAACATATTCACACATACCTCACACCTGCATCTGTGCTATTGATCAGCTATATTTGAAATGCATGAGGTCACACAGAGGTGGCAGCACAGTTTAATAGAACATTGACAGTTGTGGTGGTGAATGTGATCCTCAACAGGAAACACAAAGACTGACGTTTTGAATTTTGCCTTTTTGTGTTTTAACTTCAGCTCTGTCACGATTCAAAGGGGAAAAAAGGCTTTCTGTTGTCGTGCTGTGTGAAGACTGATGTCACTGAAGTTCAAACCAAGAACACACATCTAGGAAAACTCATTCTTAGATTCACTAGCGACAGAAGGAAGAAAACCAAAAGCACACAGGTATAGTTGTGTCCTTACAGTTGAAGATGCCCGGTGGAGGATGCTGGGTGACCACGGGGCAGTTCTCCTCATCGCTGTTGTCCCCACAGTTATTCAGCTGGTTGCAGATCAGTGAGCCCAGACGCAGACAATTCCCATTGGTGCAGTGGAACTTGCACTCTGTTTGGGAAGAAGACAACGAGAGAGGAGAGGCATGTTTTAGCATTGGAAGGGCTGGATGTGACCAACATCAGGCCCTGGGGCCAGTTCTTGTACTCGCACTGGTTGAATGAGGTCCATTACGGTTGGTAGAAAAAGTGATTTTCTTTCAGTAAATAAATTAAGATGCTCTTTTTACCAATGTAAATTGTGTTTTAAGGGTATTATGACAAAACATTCCAGGGTTTTGCTTTACCTCTTTTATTTAATTACCTCTAACACATTTAGTATGTACATATGTTTTATCAATGTCAACGTACTTCTAGTCACTGTCTAATGTGGAGCTGTTGCTGCTTTATTTAAACTAATATGTTCTCAGTGGCTTATCATTGCCATACAACAGTTTTACCTAGGTTGGTGTCTGGGGAAAAAACTTCAACAATCTTGGAAAAGCTCTCAGAACTCATCAGCCATGAAAATAACTTGTTCTTGCACCTGCTCCATTAACAATCTTATTAGACTCTACACACAGTGATTTTTTTTGTTGATTCTATTTAGAAACTTTAGAAAAGCAGAATTTAGACATTCAGCTGGTTAAAAGCTATCGTAATGGTGAAACTGAAAACACTTTTATGGAGAAAAAAAACAACTTCCAATTCAAAATAGGCTTTGTCTTGCATTCAGTGATACTTTGCAACTCTTTTAATATTAAAGTCCCCACTTTCTCTAGAGAAGAAATTTTAGCCCTAGGTTACAGTTAGAGTTTTAAATATGAGGCGGAAGTTTGGTCAGTCCTGATCTTGCTGAAGTACACATGGGAATGAATTTGTCTGTTGTCAAGTTCCCACTGTTGAAAAAAATTAACAAGGTCACATTCATATTCTTTTTTAATTGTCTTAAAATGCCAAGAGCTGTTAATGGGCTGAGTTCACACCGAAACAAGGTCAGAAACAAAGTTGTTTTCTGTCCAAAGCAATAAATGAATAACTCACTTTTTTAAAAAGCTTCCTTTGATGTTTTTCTGCCCCCGAACCATTGTGTGCTTCGCTTCTTTCACACCCTGCTCCCCTCTTCCCCTACANGACTCTGACACTATCTGGTGAAGGAAGAAAGAAATTTGTGCATTCACTTTGACAGAAATATTCACAAATAACAGAAATGTGTTTGATGCACAGGGAGGCTGTGCTGTTCTAATGTGTCCAAATGCAAATGAAGGGTCATGGTGCAAACACTGGCCGCAGGACTGAATTATAACAATAACCACATCACTGTCTAGTCCTGAAGCATGACTGTCTCTATGCCCAGTATTCTGTCTTTAGGCATGAATTCTCTTTTCAATTTTTGCAGCCCTATTTTTGAAACTGCAGTCATTTCTGCATGGAAACATTTTTCTAACTGAGTTTCTTTAGCAAGAGAGACAAAAAAGAGAAGAACAGAATTTGAAGCACTGCGTACTTCCAGTACCACTGAACCCTTTATGGCCCCTCCATTAGTTACAGCTATATGATCTACAGTATGTATCAGTGGTGATTGCTCTGACAACAACTAGGGAGGCTTAGCTTCCTTTGATAGAGAGTGTATTAATCCCTGTTGAAGCTCAGCTCAGAGGAGTTTCTAGACACCCTTAGGGCCCCAGGCAAGAGGGACCACGGAGGCCCTCCTGTCAGCTGACCTTGGTCCATAGTGGACCAGTGACAGCCTTTGGGGCCCCTTCCAGCTCACAACCCTGGGCAGGCTGGGTTGCCTGCCCTGTTGTAGCACCTCTGGCTCAGCTTTAAATTTCTTTAATGAATTTCACCCTGGGACCAATAGCTCATATTAGAATAAATGACACTTCACAGGCTTCAATGGCTGTAAAGCAATGGGTTGGCGTGGAAGCTGGGCTTCAGCATGATAACTGGAGCTAAACGAAATTCAGGATCTTCAGGCAGGATGTGGAAGACTTTTCAATGTACAAAACATGTTTTTTTATATATAGTAATTAATTGACGAATAGGGTTTCTTATGCCCCCCCCCCCCCCCCCGCTAATAATACAAAAAAAAAAAAAAAGTCAAGATAA